ATACACACATACATATAAAACAAACACTAACACGCAATCGAGTAAGTGGCAGGGTCAATATCAAAGATAATTAGTCACCCCATTCTATTCTACAATACTTTTACAAGAATGAGTTCCGGCTATGATCATGTCCATCATATAATGGATAAAAGCTCTGCTCGTTTTCCCCCGAAACGAGAAAGGATATCTCGTGGCCTGCGTCAATCTGAACGTCATATTAAGGCCAAACAGGGGCAGTAAAACGGGAATAAGCCGTCCTCTTCTGCTGAGATCGACCTTCAAATGTCATCTCCATGCAATTTTATACGAAATGAAAGTCTCCTCAACAATGTTACCTCGAGAGATTCATCGAAACCCAGTTACATTTTGTCATTTTATAGTCAAACAAAAATTCGCAATTCCTATATATTCACACAGTATTGGTGACAAAGTTCATATCATAACAAGGAGATCGATATTTTTAATAAAATGGAAAACAAGACACTAATATTCAATCCAAAATTATTGAACACCCAGATAAGAATGAATTGAAATACACGACAGCATAATATTTAGCACACTCTGTAGTTCTCTACGTAATGCTCCCATAAGATACAGTGAATCATGAAACAAAGAGATCCAACAAAATGTTCTCATTCATGATTTACGACAGAGCTAAGCAAAGTACTAATCCATTAAACCTAATAGATGTAATCCATTCACACACAAGTAGGTGTGGACGAAAATAGTCTAATCAAATTCTTTCTGAGCTACATTTATCCTAGCCCACATGAGGTGAGGAAGGACTGATAGTTAAATTTTCCCACAATTATATGACTAGGCCTCATATTTCAAATTGATTTCACATGTCCTTGCTTCCTAACGAGCATTCTTGTCCAGGTTTGACTGCAGTTTCGGCATACCCTAAGCCTTAACAGCCCTTCTAGCTAGATTTGGACCCAGATAGTAGATTGTAAGATACTGATTCTTTAAACACTAGCGCGAATCCCCCTAGGTCACAAGGCAGACATACATTTCGAGTAAAGTCAGGCCATTCCCATGTCACTTTTTAGCGAGTTACGACAAGGCAAATTTGTATTGGCTATTACAATCGACTAATGTATTAATTATGAATCCCTCCAATCTTGACCTTAGGAGATTCATGGAAATGTGGAGTTGTGCTTAATAATTCGATACCATACACTAAAATAACATGCTTCAAATCCCACTGATAGCGCTGATAAGACCTGGGCAAGGTTAAAAATGTCGTCTAAACTGGATGAGAATGCCCTTTCGAAAGCAAGGCTATGCGAAATTCAATGGAACCATGAAGCCTACCTATATCATTATGGGAAAATTGAGCTATGCGACCTAGGGTAAATACAGCTCTTATTCAAGATCTACTGATAGTTTCGATACCTAACAAATTATTCCATAATTATTTATAAAAATTTATCTCATTGATTATTTACGAATCAGCTATCTTCATTGATTCGATGTTGGTTTGAAGATATCATAGGAATAATTACCAACTATGAACTGCAGAGTGACGTAACATACGGAAGCTCAGCCCAATTTCAATTAAACAGGAAAATTTATCGAGGATTGCGATGACATATGTCGCTATAAAGTAAAGAGCAGCAGACAAATTAAAACCCAATTTAGTCTTTCAGAGATATCGAACTGTAAATCCTATCATAAGATATTCATATGAAATTAAAATCAGCTCAACAATAAAGTTTTACATATACAAAGTGCAACGAGCTTAGACTATTCTATTATTTAAAAACGATTTATTTTTAGACAATCTTGTCAAAGAATTGAGTGGCAGCCACAAATCACATGTAATAAATATAAAATCAAGAAAAGAAAGGTTTAACATTTGCGCATGAAGCTTATCAAAATTAATTACCTTCTGCTCGAGATTTTCAAGAGGCAGGTCCTTAATCGCCACACATTCCGGATATTTCGCAATAAGAAAGTCGAAAGCGAGAATATGCTAGAACAGTATAAATATCAAATGTAAAGAACAATCAGTCTTTGATTTAAAGTAAAAATTAGGATGGCTAATAATATTATTAAAAATTTAACCTCCTGTGAGAGTAGTAGCTTATCGGCCCTTTTCTCGCGGTGAACAAAGCTGT